CCCCCCGGGAGAGGTGGAGAAGGGGAGAGAAAAGAAAATTGAGTATGTTTATATTTTTTTTTTTTTTTGGTGGGGGGGGGGGGGGGGGGGGGGGGGGGAGCACAAGTGCTTTTGTCCTTAAGTGGGGGGGCATATGGAATCCTGGGAGATGGGGCAGAAGTTAACCAAACTGCACTGAGTGAAAAGAACTGGCAGGGGCGAATCTTCAGGGAAGATTTTTTTTATGATGGGGAGCATAAGAGAGGCCATAATTCATACAGAGAGGCCAACTTTATCATTAGCCAATGATGTGTGTTGAATCAGTGAGTGAAATGGGAGAGGGCACACTGGGGGCCAATCAGCTTTCAGCTGGGGGCAGTGCCCCTGTGGCCCCACCCCTTTATACACCCCCCCCGGGACTGGGCCACTGGCCAAGACCAGGAGACACTGCCTGTCACTCATAGTGATGCTTATATTCCACAAGAGAAGACGGTTATTTGGAAGAAATGAAACAGACAGTATTAGTCTTTGACATTGTTGCTGTCTGGTCTTTTAGAGGATTTGGGTCAGTCCTCAGTTGGACGTACTTTGTGTCAAAAGCTAAAGAATTTGTGTGGTTATATGACACATAAACAGTGTGTTTTGAATCTCGCCTGCTTCTAAGGAGGAATCTCTGAACGCTGCTCATTTTGGCTGCAGTGATATTTACTGAAGCATTTTATTATGTTATAGTGATGTTATAGAGTATACAAGTAATAAAAATATACCCTGCCTTATCTCACTGAGCTAATTTTATCCTGTTTTTTTACTTATTTTTAACCAAATATCAGAGTCAGTCCAGCAGATTCCTTCACGTTAGGGATGACCGTCCTCTCTGAATAAACAAGTCCTCCCTGTTAATAGCAGTTTCAAACATCCGAATTAAAGTTGTGTTTCTAAGAGTTTTAAGAGTTAAGCTCAAATTTTCCACTTGTAAAGTTGTTATTTTGTGATTAAAGGTGCCTAATGGGTTGGAGGAACAAATTTCTAAGCAGGAAGAGTAAAAGGCCTTTGCCTAGGCTTTGGGCCCCTGTCTGTAACCATGAATCAAGCAGGGACACTGATTGCTCTTAACACTTCTTTTACCGCTGATTTAAAGAGCTATTAATGTCAGGGAGCAACAGGCTCATGGCAACCAGCACTGTTCACAACAAAACACAGCGGTTGCTATGGACACAGGAAATTAGCTTTTTGGAGCATGCTGGGTAATTTATCTCCAGTAATGCCAATGAGCAGTCCCCTCTGGCGAATGAGAGCATTTCCTTACTAGAATAAACTTGTGAATAGTTTGCTCCCAAATTTACACTTATAATGTTCTATTGTGGAACTATATACCCAAGTGACAATTTTATTCAGAATTTTGAATCAGGTTCTTCCATATTTTCTTATTAATAATTAGCCACAGAAATCCTGAGTGCCTTCCAGCCGTGATTAGCATAGTATCCAGCGTGCATTTTGGGTAGGTTTTTTTTATAGTGATAATGATCAGAAAATGATTACTGTGAATAGCACGCATTATAATACTACAGTACGGCTACAAAACGTTTCTTTTTTAAAATATCATGTAATAATAAGCAGATACCCCTTTATGAAATTAAAATATGAAAGCAGTACTGCATCTACATGTGGTCTCTACCTTACAGCTAATCACTGCATTAATGCAGCAGTCCGGGTTTAACTCACGCTATATTGTTGTAACCTTATCTTTAACTTTAGAATAATCAGCTTATTTTTCCTGTTTGTAAATGCGTTTAATTTTCTGGAACAGCCCTTTTTTATTTAATTGATGGTCTTGATTGTGCGCGGTGCGGGTCTCTCTGATGTGGTGGAGTTAATGCATGCAGTAAACAGTCGACTTCCCCAGCTTGGAGCGCGGAACACGGACGTGGCCTCCAGCAGCCAAAAACACGAACACCCTCACTAGTGCCTGTTGCTTCCCGCATGAATATAGCAACATCTGTTTACTTTGTTCAGAGGGGATCTGCCGCATTTTACATGGAGGGAGGGGTCGAGAGTAACATCCTCCAGCAACCCACCACTGTAAAATAAGGAAAATATCTTATGAAATAATAGACCACAGTGACCAGTAATAATGAGAGATGATCATTAAAGCAGAGTTCTAACATAGATGTGTTCAACATCTCAAAACAATCGTGTATTGATATATGAGTCCCTTGCAGATGAACTACCTTTATATTAATGTAATAGTCACTATATATTAAAACAGTACAGCAATATAACCAGCTACACTAAGCAGATATTAATTATATATAAGAGCCAGTAGCAGGTCTCCAGCCGTAGACAGATAGAGGGCGTGCAGGCTCAGACAGCCGGACGATTATTGTTTGCTCTGTGATACATGTGGGTTTGGATCAAAGCCCAACACAGCCTGGAAAGACGCTTCATCAGATAGTACACTAAGATGATGGTGATAAGTGTCTGTGACGGGCAAACCAGGCGGGCGTGAGTGCGAGTCCCCAGTCAGATGACAGCCAGGGCAGATGCTGAGGAAATGGGGAAAGGGTTACAGGTTGAGCTTTGAGGCTCGAGGTCCAGAAAAGCTTGACCTGAAGTCATGGCCATCGTCATCAATAGATGGATGGGAGGTCAAATTGGAAGGAGGCACGAACAGAAGCTTGAGTGGAAGAACCCTAATCTTACTGGCACCTCATGGAATAAGTGCTACAAAGCATCCATATTCCAATGGTAAATAGCAGAGTTAGGGTCCTGGCTTGTGACTGGAAGGTCACCAGTTCAAATCCTAGGGTCAGCAGAGGATTTCACCGCTGGGCTCTTCAGTTAGGCCTTTAACCCTCAATTGCTCCAGGGACTCTGCTTCTTCACTTCTACGTTGCTTTGGATGAAATTGTCCGATAAATAAACATAATGTAAGTGATTCCCTGAATCAACATGCTAAAAATTACGCCTTTCATTACACAGAACGTGTTTTATTTACCTGCATTCGGGCGTCAAAGCCAGACATCCTCGCAGGTGTGGGACCTTAACGATTATCCCCCGCGTTTGTTCCAGCTTTCATGTTTAATGACATAACATGTCACCTCTTCCAGATTGTGTAACCCCCCCCCCCCAAGTCCAAACTGCGACAGCCCTGGGGGGAGGCAAAGAGCCACAACATCTGTGACTTCAAATCTGCTTTCTGTGAAGTATAAAATATTAGCGCTGGATCAGGAATTTCAGGCCAGCAGCCTAGTCCTTCACTTATGTTGCCTTTATGATTTTCGTGAAATCACACAATGGCCACTTTTGTCTGGGATAGCGAGAGTGAAATAACATTGCTGTTGTATGTGTGTGTGTGTGTGTATATATATATATATATATATACATATATTTTATTACTTAAGTATATATGTTTTTTACTTACTTTCCAAGGACAGATCCTACAAATGGCGAATGGCAGTCTAGCTCTTGATTGTGACAGACTCCTATTGCCATTTTCTTTTTAGAGATGACAGTTTCAGGGGTGCCCAGACAGGTGGGGGCCAGCGGAGTTACATAATAGCTATAGAGAAGATCAGGGGCTTTGTCAAGTTTGCCTGGGCTTTACTTTTGTTTTTTGTTTTGTTTTGTTTTTTTGAAGGAAGACTGGCATTGGAGCTAAAATACTCAGGGCTCGGCCTAAAATACTCAGGGCTCTGCTTAAGTACTCAGGGCTCGGCTTAAAGTACTCAGGGCTCAGCTTAAAGTACTCAGGGCTCGGCTTAAAATACTCAGGGCTGTATCAGATCTTACAACACCCATAGTGGGGACAGTTATGATGATTCTAAGGGCTCCTGAGTGAGAGGGATTCGGGGCCCAAATTCTCTGTTCAGTTTACAGGAACGGGCTTCCTCAGCGCCTCCTGTGTTATAGTTCTCTTAAAAACCTGCCTTATATATTAATTTCTTTGTCCTCCTAAGACAGGCGGGTTAGGGTTAGGGTTAGGGTTAGTGCAGGTCTGAATCTGTGCTGGGGGGGCAATGTAGGTGTTGGATGTTCTCGCTGCGTTTATGTGGGTTCCATCTGGGTACTCCAGGTTCCTCCCACAGTCCAAAGACATGCTGTTCCCGATTATTGTCATAAGATATAATAAGTACAAGTGCCAAAAGTTGTATTAATTTGGTTACTTATGGCTAAGATTAGGGCTGGGTAGCGGTTAGGTTTGTCATTGTTGGGTGCAGAGCCAATCAATGAAGGTTACAGGCAGGGAACAAACCAGGATGGGGCACCAACCCATCACAGGGCACACTCACACCTCCATGCAATTTGGTTACTCCAATTAGCCTCAGCATGTTTTTGGACTGTAGGGGGAGACCTGAGTATATGGAGGAAACCCCAGAATGACACGGGGAGAAGAAGCAAACTGCACACACCTGGAACCCTGGAGGAGACTTAAACCCTAACCGTGCTAACCACTGCACCACCATGCTAAGGTTTAGTGTTTTGTTACATAGAAATGAATGGAAAGTCCCCACAAAGACATGAATACAATCATGCAATGCATTGCAAATATGCACATGCAAAGTATTCAGACTGTAGAAAGTGAATTAAACATGAAACAATGCAAAATCTCAAATATTTCAGGCAATTTTTGGTCCCAAAAAAGAGGACCTATGGTCAGCAATATATATAATATACTCCTGCCTATTCTCTTTTATTCTCTCTTCCAATGCTTTTCACTCCTTCCTGTTTCTTCCTCCCCTTGTGTGATGGAGTCGCTCAGCATGAACCGGAGCTGTAGCCCTCCCTTCTCTCTTTCAGGATGACAAGGACCTGGTCCATGAGTTTGTTGTGGCTGAGGGACTGGCATGTCTGATCAAGGTGGGAGCGGAGGCTGACCAGAACTACCAGAACTACATCCTCAGAGGTACTGTCCATTCGCCATGGAGGAACCTGCCCTGTTTTTGCACAACAGGGGCAGTTTCTCTAAGCGCCGCAATCTGCAGAATTAAAAGGGGATAAAGCAGAGTTGCACTACATATGAATACATATGAATGCTTGATTAGCAACTTCACCACTCCAGTTCCTGCAGTTTATATGTGTTCTGCGGCTTTTGCTCTGACCGGCCAAATACATGAGACTAGATTTATTGGTATCTCTAAATTAGCCATGGGGTATGGACTGCGACTTCAACCTTTTGTTGTGGTCCTCCTCCCGCACACACACACACACACACACACACACACACACACACACACACACACCCACAGTCGTGTAATCATATCGTTTTGGGGACCGCTCATTCATTTCTATGGGAAAAAATGCTAATGCTAACTATGACAAGCTTAACCCCCACCCAGCCCTAACCATAACACACAGTTTCCTGGTCCCCGTAAGGTAAAAAGTGGGTGTTCAGCACCTGCTTCACTTTAGAGCGACGGTTCATAAATAAGTCCCTGGATTTCAGTAAAAAAAAAATTAAAAAGCATAAAATTCATATGGAAAGTTACAAATTCATTCACAGTGTTCTGCATTACAACTGCATTTGCACACACTCTGGTGCACACACTCTGGTGCACTCACTATTGTGCACTCACTATTGTGCACTAGATCAGGCAAGAATGTGGCAAAAGTTTAACAAGCACAGTGACCTGTTCATTTATACCCCGCCCCCCCCCCCCCATTTGCCTCTCGCTGCCTTTTGCTCTTGATGTTATTGAAGGGTCCCTTGGTGTCAGGGTGAAATGGGGGGGGGGGACTTGAAAGACACATTAGAAGCTCCCCACCATTTCACAGCCGACTGTGACAGGGTAGGTCATGCACACTTAGCCACCTCATATAAATGCTGGCAGGATGTTGCAGATAATAAAGTGGATTTGCGCCTCCTTCCCTGTCTGTCATACCCACTCTCTCCTCGGTAACAAAAGCCATTTTGTTACTGTACTGCTATAAGGAACTCAGTTCAGGACATCATCAATATGCCGATGGAGCCAGCTGGATGCCACGTGAATAAAGCAAAAAGCAGCCAGCATTTGTATTAGAGAAGGAGGATAGCACAAAAATTTCTGGAAGGGTATAAAATGTTGCATTGAATTCAGAAAAGATTACATTTAAGAAGTAGTTTTTTTTCATAGATATTCTTTTTATTTCGTTTTTAAATTATGTACAAACTGATGCACATTGTGGCTTGAAATTTGGCAGGCGGAGGAGAGTGTTTTCATGGAGACTGTAATCTGTGATCGTCGACTGTCTGTGACTGGGATAAAGTTATGGTTAATTTATGGAAGCCCTAAGACAGACAGAGACAATTCCAGAAGTTTAAAGGGTAAAAGGGTTACAGACAGTCAGATAAAGAGACAGACAAACAGGCAGGCAGACAGACAGACAGGCAGACAGGCAGGCAGACAGACAGGCAGACAGATTAGATAGATAGATAGATAGATAGATAGATAGATAGATAGATAGATTTTCTTTTGAATTGCATGCCCCAGCTCTCCTCCTTCCCTGTCCCCCATTCCCTCTCTCCGCCCTTACAGTCACAGTATGACTCTGGCACAGACAGGTCCCAGCGCAGTCTCTCCCACACCCAGGTCTCAGTGCTGAGTCATGAGCTGCTGGGGGGGTGGAGCTTATTACTCACATGGCGTGAATGCGGCTGCGGTGGCAGCCTGAGGGGGCACTGAGGCAGCTCGGCCCGCTAGGCTCCGAGCCTCTCCATCAGCACGAGGCGGCCTCGCTCTGGGCTGGGGCGGCCTCGCTCTGGGCCGGGGCCTGTGTGCAGCCTGAGGGGGCACTGAGGCAGCACGGCCCGCTAGGCTCCAAGCCTCTCCATCAGCACGAGGCGGCTTCGCTCTGGGCCGGGGAGGCCTCGGTCTGGGCCGGGGCCTGTGTGCAGCCTGAGGGGGGTAAAACAAGGTTCAGGGTGCTCTCCAGAAAATCTGCTCCTTTTGGGAACCGTAAGATTCCCTTAGATCTCAACACAGGTTCACTGGTTTTCTGGGCAGTTAGAAGCAGTTCACAGAATGAGCCATTTTTATTGTGACCAGCTGTAGGACATCAGTCAAACATCTCCATCCCCCTTCATAACTACAGGATCCTACTGTAAAAACACACTGATGGGTAATATTTCCTCCTGCAGCCAAACTGTAGAACAAAGCGAGTCTGGGGTTTGCCAAATGCCTCACTGCTGTGTTCAGTAAATATGTTGTGTGTACTTGTCATCCATTCATCTGAGCTGCTCTTTTAAATCTCATTACCCACAACCAGTGCACTGTTTTTCAGCACCAGAGAAAAAAATTCCAGGTTTCTGGAAAATCGCTGTCTGTCTGAACCTCCAGCAGGGGTCGGTTATCCAGGGGTTCAGCAGCAAAGTCCTGCCATCTGGGAAATGTTCAGTTCTGGCCGCATCACGCTGTCCCTCCTACGGGGGCGATAGGAGTTTTGTACTCGCTTTGAAAGAGTAGAGTTTAATCCAGACAAGGCCTGATGTTCACCGTTATCAGCTGCTTTTCAAGTTGGCAATCAACTGTGAAGCAAGGGTTTTTGGGAACCGGGCCCTGCGTTCATGTTCTCTAAATCAGCATCAGGTTCTCCATTACAAGCAATGGGAAGATGAGCGATGATGAACGGCAATCTCAGCAATGGGCAGTGATGCCTGTATATTGCTCTAGTTTATCTCTGGATGCTCTGGGCCAGTGATTCCCAAACCAGTCCGTGGGGTCCCCCAAACACTCCACATTTTTGCTTCCTCCCAGCTCACAGCCCACCTGTACCAGGTATTCGGTGTTCTTGATTGCTGGGAGTTGGGAGGGAGCAAAAATGCGGACTGTCTACAGAACCCCCAAGGACTGAGTTGGGACACACCGTTCTGGGCAACCCTGCTATTTCTACATCTGGTGGTGATATGTGGCTCTGTGCCAGTGATCGGTAGGTTGCCAGTTTGAATCTCGTTCTCGACAGAATAGTCACGTGTCCATTGGGCCCCTTGAGCAAAGCCCTTAATTCCCCAAAATGTTCAGGGCCCTTGGATAAATGGCCTGACCCTGTGCTCTGATCCAAGGATTCACTCTCATCTCTATATGTGTGTACAGTGATACCTCAGAACTTGAACTTAATCCGTTCAGAACTCCGGTTCGAATCCTAAAAAGTTCGAGTTCTGATTGAATTTTCCCCATATGAAATAATGGAAAACCAATTAACTGGTTCCCGGCCCCGAAAAATGACACCTAAATATATATTTTTTTTAGCATTTAAACACAAAATGAACAGGATAAAACAAGAAGAGCATATATTAAACACATCTAAGCACATTTATCAAAACAGTAATTTGAAATTTTAGAGAATAAATGTATCCAAATAATGTGTAAAGTTAAAAACACTGTGCGGCAACACTGTTCACTCTATACCGTGTGTAACATTTTTTTCTTAATGGCTTTCCAAACGATAAAGAATGGGCCCAAACACTACCCCAAGCCATGCCCCAACATTACCCCAAGCCATGCCCCAACACTGCGCCAACACTAGACTATACCATGCGGTCCATTGTTTATTTTTATTATTACTCTGTATTCGTTAATTTGTTCGTAAATTGCAAACTTTTAGGTTATAACATTTGTACAACTATTGCATAACTTTTTGGTGAGCAATGGCTACCAAAATGATATAAAGTACAGTGTATTACCTGATATTTTAAATAAAAAAAGCACTATCACCAACAAACAATGCTATCACAGTGAATGCGAGGCAGAGACTGAAGCGTTACTCTTTTTTTTCCGCTGAGAGATGTGCCGCGTGACTCATTTCCCTGCGCGTACAAATTATCTTAGGTCGGCGTTCACAGATTCAGATTGAGCTCTAGGTCGTTTTTTTTCTAACTGGTTGGTTAAGGAATTCGAGTTCTAATGAGTTTGAGTACTGAGGTACCACTGTATATCTTGCAAAGGAGAGCATGATGGGATATGTGAAAAGAAGCATTCCAACATATCAGTACTTGTACTTGTGCAAGTGGCAAATAAACCATCATTTCAGTTTCTTCCATTGATTCACCGACCTCTCAAGCCGAAGTGAGGATAAGCTAATTTATTCCTTGCAGCAGGTTTACGGCGTTTCGCTGTCAGCTCCAGTTCCCCTCGCCCTCTCTTTCGCCTCTCCCCCCATCCTCCGCAGTTCCCCTCGCCCTCTCTTTCGCCCCCCCCCCCCATCCTCCGGGCCCAGCAAGTAGCCCCGCTACCGACGTGAGATATCCTGCTTTTAATTATACGCTTGTTACGTTTCAGACATGAGTTAGACCACCGCGACTTCCTCCTGTTTAGGAGATGAGCTCTGTGGGAGATGGGAACGGCAAAGGATATTTCATTTCATTTTCCATTTCGGAGCTGTGAAACGTCCTGCGGCCAGGCGGCATTCCCGGGAATAAGAGGCTCTTCCTCTCTTAGGCATATGCCTTATGGAAGTGTTTCTGAGAATGGCACAGCGAAATGGTGTTTGCGAATAGTGTATGCAGGTGTGTTTATGTATATATGAACAATAAACGCTTTGTCTGGATGATGTTTTGTTTTTGTTTGTCTGATTCATGTTGGGATATGTGCGGCTTTTCTGGTCTCACTCTTAAAGTATTGTTTTAAAACTTCCAGCATAAATGGTACTGAGAAGTGCTGTTACTCCCAGAGATTCCCCTTGGCTTAGAGTAGGAAGCGTGAGTAATTATAAATTTCATATTAGTTTTTCAGTGGCTTTGCTCTATTTGCTCATCTGCAGAGATTCTCAGAGCTTGGGAGGGTCTGGCAGCCCTGTTTGGAAAGATCGCTGCCTGGCGGAGTTACCGGCCGTCGGTGCCGGGTGGGGGGGGGCCACGCACGGCACACGCGCTGCGTAAACATTTCCACCCCGTGTGTGTGTATGTATGCGTGGCCGCCTCCCCGCGCGCGA